AAAAAAAAAGGAAAAAAAGCCAACAAGAACAAAACAAAGCCTACTCTATGGGAGGTATCTTCCAAGGTCATACCTGTTCCCAGACATCTGCCTATCCCCCTCCAGCTACCACTCGGGGGAGGTAGGAGGCAGGAAACTAACCTTCACTGCTCACTTTACACACTGTTACGAGAGTAGTTCCAACAACCTCTGATGTAGGTTCTTCTACTACAGCCTTCAAACAGATGAGGAAACAAAAGCCTGAAGAATAAGAGCTCCATGCCAAGGGCACAGAACTGGCACCAGAGGAGCCAGCACTTGAGCTCAGGTCTCTCTCAGAGCAGTCTGACTCTTACCTTCCACCTATACCACTGTCACCTACTGCCTCCTCGTGGCACCCACCCCAGCCAACCTGCTATTTCTCTGAAAGCTCGGAGAGGAACCAGACAGGAGCAGGGTCCTACCTGGCTTCCCACTGATCTGGAGGAGATTCTGAAATGACTCGTCCCAAAGCATCCAGCACTGGGGGTGGCCGCTGCAACAGACAAGTGAGTAAATGCCCGGCAGTGTTCACCCCTACCCAGCCAGGCAGACAAATGGCCCAGGTAATAGGACACGGCTAGCCTGAGCCACCAAAAGCCCCAGGACTCATAGATGGAGTAGGCTGAGGTTGAGCAGAGTCCAACCAACCTCACGCCACCAACCCACAGCAGCTGCCCAGGTTACTCACATACAACTTCTCCTGGTAGATCTCCATAAGCCTGCCCATGACCTCCGCCGCGTGTCGGTGATACTGTGCCACAGCCTGGGAGAGGGCTTCAGCCCCAGCCTGCCTCACTGCTGCCTCATGATAGATCACATCATCAATCAGCAAGGAGCACAGGTCTGGCTGCAGATCGAGGCCCATGGTTGACCAGAGCCTGCAGCAAACCGAAGTGGGGGCTGGTCAGACAAGGAACTATAGCACCAGCTCCATCAGTCCCGACCCTACCCTTCTCTCACTGGAGGCTGAGCATATTGGCTCAGTTATTTCCTAAGGGAGAGAAGTCAGAGCAGGAGAAAGCACCCTCTCACTGGCTCTCACATCTCAGCCAGCTTCCGGATCTCCTCCTCCTTGTCAAACTTGATCACCCAGAGCCTCCGCAGCAGGTTCAGGCCATTCTTCTCATCAGTATCAGGGGTTGGCAATACCATGTGAAGCTCCATCAGTCCCTAGGAGGGAGAGGGATTGGACTGCATGAGACTCAACTTCTCAAAGCAGCCTCTGACCTACCTTTTTATCATCCTCTGGGCTATAATGTCCAAGATACAACCACTTGGTGCATATGGTTAGTTAAAGTTAAATCCATTAGAAAGAACTAAAATAAGTTATACCAAATACATTTCAAGTGGCTGCATCAGAAGGCAGATAGAAAATATTTCCATCAGTACAGAAAGTTCCACTGGACAGTGATGGTATAAAAGTGCTAGGAATCAGAGAAACTGAAAGGGTAAATAAGGACCAAAGTGGACGACCGACAGAAGGGAGAGGAGTACAAGAGGAAAATTGGGAAGTAGGAAGAAAATGTTCAAATAGGAAGGGAAAAAAGGGAAGCGGGACAGGAAAGGGAAGGGAAGGAAAGGAAAAAGGAAAAACAGAATAGAAGGAAAAAATGGAAACAAAGCTTTGTAAACAAGGAGGGAAAGGGCTGAAGGGAGGGGAGGGGAATAGGGGATAAAAGAAGAATCAAGATACAGCATGCACAGGCATGAATTCCCTATGGTGAATGTGATCATTATATGTATCAAACTACACCAATAAAATTAATTTAAAAAAAAGAAGTGCTAGGCATCAGCTCAATGAGCTACCTGCTCAGAGTCTCCTCAAATTAATTTCTGGGGGCTGGAGGTGTAGCTCAGTGGTACAGTGCATGCTTAGCATGTGCAAAATACTGGCGTCAGTCCCTAATGCCCCCCCCCAAAAAATACTTCTTTTGTGAAATGATGGTGTATGGTGCTATAATTTTTTTAATGTAAAAGTTAATAACAACTCTAAGTAAACAAGATAAAAGCTCAGAAAAAATGTTCCGCTTGTTGGACGAATTTCTAAGAAAAATTTACCACAGGGCCATCATTTTTCACACTGACAAGTGCCAGACAAAACCATCACATATCAATAGCAAGAGGACATGGATCAGCATTTGGGAACCACTGTCTTATCATTCCAAGGCAATTTTTAATTATGGTTCAAAAGCCACCAAGAACAGTATAGAAAGGGACAGTGGTGTATATCTGTAACCACAGCACTCAGGAGGACTGCAAGTTCAAAGCCAGCCCGGGCAATTTAGTGATTAATGAGAACTTGTCTCACAAAATAACAGCTTGGGATATGACTAAATGCAAAAGCCCTGGGTTCAATCCCCAGTACCATAAAAGAAAGAAAAAAGAGAAGAGAAGAGAAGAGAAGAGAAGAGAAGAGAAGAGAAGAGAAGAGAAGAGAAGAGAGAAGAGAAGAGAAAAGAAAGAGACGGGGAGGGAGGCAGCCAGCCAGCCAAGTACAGGTAGTATGTTGAATAAATGCACTAATACTGTGAGCTAGACTGTCTATAACACTGTAAGATCCATGTTCCAATTTAAAAACTAGGCAAAATCTCCCAAGAAGAAAACAGACCACGACAGATCACTGTAATTGCTTAATTTTTCAATTCTTAAAAGGATACCAACCCATCCTGTGCCCTATTCTTTCATCTAGGACCTGCCATCAGGGTGACAGATATTCTTTCAAATCCCCATCATAGCTCAAACACCTCCACAGAGTGACAGGGATGCGACAGTGCTCCCTTGAGAGAGTGCGAACACACCCGGAGTGCAGTCTCGCGCACGCTGGTACATGGGGACTGCAAAGCACAGAGCAGCACATCCACTTCCTCCTGCTCTGCAAAGGCGCAGCCATCCTCGCCACTGCTGCTGGCACATAGGGTGGTCAGTGTGTCTGAAGCCAGAACCTGAGAAGGACATAAGCACACGGGTTCAGTTCAGCAAGTCATTTACTTCAGTGGGAGCAGGTGACAGGCTAAGGGGCTCAGATAAGAGTCTAAACTGAGAATATCCACCCCCGAGCCTACTACAGCTAAGACCCTAGCCCCAAGCCAGGCCAGTAAAACCCCTCGCTAGCTGAAAACAGTCAGATCAGCTTTCAAATGCCACCCTTCTACCCTAGTCCAAAAGTGAGGGCTGAGAGAAGACTCCAGTAGGACTTGACCACCCATGCCAGGACCTGAGGTCAGGGTCACAGCATCAGCCCACTGGAAAGCAGATCACCTGTATGCGCCGTGAGCCTGTCCCAATCACCCAAGTCAGAAGACGCAGCATAGCTACACGAGGTAGCAACTCCGGGCCGTTCTGGGAGAGACAGAGAGAACAGCAGATGAGCCAGGGTGAGGCTGTGGGGAAAGTCTGTAACCATACTTACTGGCCAAGCAATTGGCATCCTCTCACCCACAGGGAATTGTTGTGGGACATACAATGATTCCACTATAGAAACTTCACTTGGTCCAGAGGTGCTAACCCCAGCTACCCATAATCCGCAGATCTTAAATATAAATAAACTCTGAAACTTGCTTGAAATTCAGACTATGAAATACAGATGGACCATGAATGAAAAAAACTCAACTTTACATGTAAAAAAATGCAAGATAGCTGGGGGAAGGGGTGGCGAACACTTGTACTCCCAACACTTGGAAGGCTGAAAAAAAGGAAGGCTGAGGCAGGAGGATTGCTCAGACTTCAAGGCTAGCCTGGGCTACACAGTGAATTCAAGGTCAGCCTGAACTACATAACAAGACCCTATCTCAAAAAACCAAAGGATAAAAACCAAAAAAGTAAAATAAAATGAATCGTTCATCACTGGCAATATACTACCCAAGGCTGTTAGGTTTAGAGAAAAGGAAACTAACTTTTAGTGAGAAGGTAGCTCAGAATATGCCACATAGTCTAGCAAGTCCACATCCAACACAAATCCTTATAGCAATGTTCACATGGAGCATGTAGAGGGCGTAGACACCCAAGAGCTGGTCAAAATGGGGAAACGTTAGTACAACCTTAAAATACTATCCACAGGTAAAGAGTAAGACAGAACATGGCGCATGATAGTTTAAGATCTCATGCAGCCAGTACAATCAATAACGTGGGTCCATACACACTGACATGGATGGAAACCCAGAGCAGACCGTCGTACAGAAGCAGCCTGGCCCATCTCTACATTACAAAGCCCAGCGCACTATGCATACGGCTGCTGCAGGAATAAATACACCCTCCACTTCACCATCAGAAGTGTTGATGGGTCAAGCACCTGCCTTCCCAACCCTCTTAAAAACAAGGGGAGAACAGGTCCTGCCTACCTCATCCACACGCCCAGGTGGGGTGCTGGGGGAAGCCCTCAGTTGGGCGTGGACAGTAAGGATCTGAAGAATCTGAGCCATCCGCTCCTCCTCCTCCTCACTGTGGTGGGGCATCTCGGTCAGCACCATCTTCAGTAATGGGAAGACCAAGGAGAAGGCTGGTGCTGACAAGGGCGCAGCATCTGCATGAGCAAACAGCAGGCATGGTACTGTGGGCAGCCTGGTACTGTAGGCAGCCAGGGCCTGCGCCACTGCTGTCTGTGTAGCCTCAGGCTCGGCGGCTGCGGGGAAGCTGAAGGCCCTTTGGATGCCTGGAAGCATGCAGCAGGGCAAAAGGGATGATGGTTGGTAGTCCAGTGCAAAAACCAAACCTGCTTCTACCTCAAACACTGTCCAGTTCCAGAATGCGAGACTGAACAGAGAAGAAAATGCCAAAGTAAACTCTCAGTAGGATCAGTGACTCACAGAATAGGAGGCCTGGTCTCAGAAATTCTCCAACTAGTCCAACCCTTCATTTTTCAGATGAGGAAACCAAGGCTAGGGAGGGAAGATTTACCCAAGACCACAGACTCAGGAAGCTCAGGTGACACTGTAGCTCCTACCTGCCCCACACCAGCTCACACTACCCTGGGCCCCCGGTGCCATGCCATCGCATACCTGGCTCGCCCTTGCCCACCCTGCTGGTGATGGTGTGGGTGTGCAGCAGTGTCACTGCCCTCTTTACAGCCACCGACAACTCTTCCTGGCACCAGGACTTATCCAGAGCACACTCTGGCTTCAGCAGGCGCAAAGTCACATGGCTCACCAAAGTTCCTGTAAAGAAGGAATGAGACCCAGCTGGGGGTGACCCAAACAAAGACAGAATCCGTCCCAGGCACCAAAAAGGGACCCAAAGAAGAGGTGCCTCCTTCCTATGAATTAATAATCTCTTTTCTTCACCAAAATATCATCCACCTAATTTCTCCCTTGATCTTCATGACAGTACCAGAGAGTAGTAAGTAGGTAGACAGAAGCTGTCCTCTAGATGCTCAAGAAATTACAAATATACTCAGAGAAGACACAGGCCACCAGGGGTTAATCAGACAAAAGCAATACTCTAGCCACATGGCACCTCCACTTTCTACGCAACAAGCCCAGCCAACCACGTAACATTTCAACCACGTAACAGTTCCATATGCACTGAATGACAGTGTCACTCTAAACAGGAGCAAGTGCCACCCTCAGGAACATACTCATCAGGCTAGGAAGGAAACAATCCATAAAAGTAAGGCTATTGTAATTCCTAGCCACCCTACCTGGTCTTTTTTCAGAGCTAACTGAGAGCTAAAGATGACACTACTGACACATAGCTGCTCAGCTCTGGGCTGCACTGACTGGCTGTGGCTAAACCATCCTCACTGCCCCTGAGCTTGATGTCATAGCTTCAAAACCACTACAGAAAGATGGGACACTGGCTAGCATCTAAAATCTGGTTCTGGGTATAGGCAAACAAGGCACAGATGGAGAGGAGCGGACGTACTATGCCGCTCCCAAGACTAGCTTGAGGTTCCACAGGTTGTTTTCCTATGAAAAGAGAATTCAGCAGTGTGAGTCACCACATGCTCCTCCAAAGGCACTCAGGGGCATCCCTGCCACCTCCCAGACTGCCCTGGGCCATCCCCACATCAAACAAACAAGGACTAACCTAAAGCCTTGAGCCTCGGGGGCATAACACAGCCAGCCAAAGACAGGAAGGGGTTCTTGATCCTGGGAGCAGCCAGGGGAGATTTCAGCAAGGGCAGGAAAGAGTCAACCAAAACAGGGATGTACTGGGTTAGGCCAGACGGGTTCTTGGCCAGGATGGTGTCCAGGAGGCCCAGCGCTGCCTCGAGCTCCCCATCCAGCTGCAAGCAGAGCCGCCGGAGAGCAGATTAGCAGGGCTCCATTCTGGGAATCAAGGAATCTGCATGGCTGCACATCACCTCCAGCCTGGGAATGTGGTGACAGCAGCACTTACCTCCTGCAGTCGCCTCCGAATCTGCGCCTCCTTGTCCAGCTGGGCCTGCAGCATCTCCTTCTGCTTGCTGGTCAGCTGTACCTCCTCCTTTATGCCTTTCTTCTTCTTTATCTCCTGAAGGGTCAAGGTTAGCAAACCAATTCCATCTCCAGGGAATAGACCTGCCTCCCCACCAGAAGAAGGCAAGCTTGCTCCCATGAAAAGCACCAGGCCAGCTCCAAATCTGTGACATGGGCCCCAAGACCCACCATGTGGCCTCCTTCAGCCCCTACAAAGTCCATAGCCATTTGAGCTCTACAGAATGGAGACAGCAGTAGAGAAGGCCTTTTCTTTTTCTTTTACCTGCCTGCTGACAAAGGCAAGTAAGACTTTTGTAAGTTAGAAACAAAGAAGGTCCCACATTGTACTCCAGAGTATTCTGGTGACCACATGGCTTCAGCAAAACTTTAGCCTCCTCTCCTGCCCAGACCCTCCCTAGAGCTCCCTCACAGTGTAAGCTGAAGCCTGGATGAAGCCTACTCAGGTGGCTGGAGATAAAAAGGCAGAGATATCATTTGCTCTTTCAGAACTATTCACTGAGCACCTATACTAAGCCAGGCACTGTTCTAGATGTTCCAGATTCCTCTAGATCCTCCAGTCCCTGCCCTCACTGAGCTCACGATCTAGCATCTAGCAGGTGAAGGCAAAGAAGAAACAAGTAAACAAATACATAAAGGAGGTGACTGTGAACTAAGAGAACTGTCATAAAAGCAAGGTATACTGTGGATAGGTGGATGGGGGTTTGCCTCTCTCAGAAGGGCCCATATAGGCTAAGATGTAAAAGACAAGAAGAACTTAGCCTCAAAAAGACGAAGGGAAAAGTGCAGGCTGAGACAGGTGAGAGTCCTGCGCATTCTTGCTCCCATTAGAACCAGCTCTGTTCAAAGCTGAATAGGTCACTGGGCGTGGTGGCGCACACCTGTAATCCTAGCATGCAGGAGGCTGAGGCAGGAGAATTGTTTCTAGTTCAAGACCAGCCTGGGCTACAAAGTGAGCTCAAGGCCAACCTGAACTGCATAGCGAGACCTTGTCTCAAAAAGACACACAAAAAAAGCTGAATATGTCACTCAACCCAGGATTCACCAGAAATCCTGCTGTAGCAGGTCCTGCACCTGCTTTCAGAAGCCAAGTAGTGCGGGGAGGGGAGGCCATAGGACTGAGCAGCAGCACTGAGGAGAAACAGGTTTTGTTTTACTTTGATGGGTAGGGGCTACAGTATGAATGGGCCTCAGGATGACCCAGGGGAACAACCCACATGCAGCACAAAGCCAGCTGCCTGAGGCCACCAAGCCCAGTGTCCACACCGAGAAGTCTCCAAGCACTCACCTCCTTCAGCTCCAGCTCAATGATCTGCTCTTTGAAGGAATAAGCTTTGTTCTCTCGCTTCATGTTGGCCTTTTTTATGCTGTCCTGCTGGGCACTGAAACATACAGACAGTGATTAGCTAGCTTGAAAGGAGCCACCAGGGCCCTCAACCCCCTACCAGCCATGAAATCCCACCTAGCTTTTAAGTACTATGCACAAGGACAGTGCCAGACGCTTGACACACTCTGGAGTGCAGGGCCTAACTGCCAGGTCTGGAACACAGCAGGTATCACCCAGTGAACGGACAGGCTACTTCATCTGTTCCTCACAACACTAAAAGGAGGTGCTGCCCCATCACATAAGCAGGAAGACTAGGCTTGGGGAAGAAAGGCCACTGAGCCCACTAGTGCAGTCTCACCTCTGGATGATGGATTTGTCATACAGTTCCCCGGCAGGGGTCTGCATAATAGCAAACTCCTCCCGCGTCACCAGGCGCAGAGCAGGGTTCTGCACAGAAGTGGTGATGGTGCTGATGAGCTGTGGGAGGACCCGGTCCGGGGACAGGATGGAAAGGGAGCCCATGGCATTCATGGAGGACTGCCAGGCAAACACAGATACAGTCAGTCTGTGCCAATGCTAGCACTGAAGAGCAGTTCCGTTGAGCCTAAATGCCCAGAGCAGCGGGGGTTCCTTCCTGCTATAGCATTTTCTTTCTGAGCAGAGCCTACCAGAGCGGACAGCTGTAGTTTGCGCCTGCCTTACTCAGCAGTTACTCCTTAGTCTGGGACTAGCACTATGATTCTAGGGCACACAAACCTTCTGCACTCTTAATGTTCAGAGCGCAGGTGGAGCTGCCCTCGTCCTTTCCAGAGGTAGGCACACAACCCGGACCGGAAGGACAGACAGGCTTAGGGATGAGCACAGGACCCAAGCCAGGCCAACCTGGAAACTGTGACCCTGCGCTAGCTGATATTGTTGAAAAATGCATGCTTTTCCCCCTGGTGCTGTTCGAGGAACAAGGTACGAGCCTGAACTTTAATAGCTCTCTTCCACCCAAAAGGGAAATATAAGACTGGAGCCCAGCAGAGATAAGAGACACAGAAGGATTGGATGTATGGTCTAAGATATCAGCCCAAACCAGTCATGTCCTTGTATTTTGGAGGCAAATGAGGCAGGAAGCTCCCTTTTGTGCTTAAACCAGTTTGCATCTTCTGTCTCTTACAATCAAGTGTCCAATCACACATTTCACCACCTCTCCCTTGTTTATTTAGCCCTCCCTTCATGTACCCTGGGAAGGGGATCCCTGCCCTCTGCCCCTTGAAGCCAGAACCAGCTCATATGTCCATCACCTGGTTCAGGGGACTCTGTGTGGTAATCCTGGGAATGATCTGATCCAGATGCCTGGTGATGAAGGCTTCAGGATCAATCTTCATCTTAGCAAGAAGCGCTGGCCAGAGTCCAGACTGCACTGCCACTGGAGGGAAGGGGGCCCTTTGAAGCTCTCTGCCCAGTCTCCTCTCACCCTGCCCAACGGAGTCGCCACCTCTCCCCTACCCACCACAACCACAGACCTAAAGATGGGTGATGGGAAATGATCAGCATCTCCTGGGCCAATTGTTCCATGTTAGTGATGTCACCATCAAGCCCCGGCACACCAGAAATAACACACAGAGCCTCCTGCAGGACCCTCGGAGGCACATAGGTCTTGCCTGTCTCAGTCACCTCTCCAGTGTCAGTCACCAGAGTCTCTAAGGGCAGCACCTGCGTGGAGACAACATGTGAGTCCCTGACTCTTGGAGCGCTGTGCAGGCAAAGCATTAGGAAGCAAAATACCAGATACTGTGCCTCTCCCTCCTGTTGTTCTCTGATGGGGACTGATGTTCAGCTTCCTATACTGGGGACTACAGGCTATGAGGTTTGCCTGGAAGAACAAAGCACCTGTGACTAGACCTAATAGGTCTATGGGGAAGAGAAGGAAACGGAAACTGGTCCAGGAGACCCAACACAAGGCCCACAGGCTCCTAGCTGCCTTAGTGGGGGCGACAGTGAGGTGTAGCACATAGAGCACTGAAACGGGAGTCCAGCCTTTAGGGTCTACTCCCAGGTCTTCCTCCCACTGGCTAGAGATCTGGGAAGTCCATGTCAGCTCCTGGAACCCTGGACAGCTCGTATAATAAAGATTATAAGCCTTATCTGCCTGAAAGGTGCTATGAAATAGACAATGCTTTTTAAATGATTAAACTGGGCACAGTGGCACAAGCCTGTAATCCCAGCACTCAGGAGGCTGAGGCAAGAGAATCTCAAGTTCAAGGTCAGCCTGGGCTCCACAGTGTGAAGGGCGTTGCAAACAAAATTTTTTTTGTTTGTTGTTTCTTTTTTGTCTTTTTGAGAAAAGATTCCACTATGTAGTTCAGGCTGGCCTTGAACTTGCAGCAATCCTCCTCCTCAGCCTCCCAAATGCTGGGATTACAGGCGTGTGCCACCACACCCAACCCAAAACTATTTTTTAAAAAATAAAAATGGTTAAGTGTTTAAAATCAAGGGAGAGGGCCGGTGATATAGCTCAGCGGCACAGTGCCTACCAGGCAAGTGCAAGGTCCTGAGTTCAATTCCCAGTGCCAAATAAATAAATAAATAAATAAAATCAAGGGAGAAACACATTCAGAGAAAAAGACTGAGCTACTGATAAAAAAGGATGGGAAGGTAAAGAAAAGAGTCTGAAAGGGAAAAGAATTATATGAAAGAAAATGCTATAGAAGCTCAAGGGCAATGCAGAAGGTTCTGACATCAGAGTCTGAGTGAGAGAACCACCCAGAAGTGGCCCAGCCAAACTCCCGGCGACACAAGCAGGCCAGCTAAGTGGGTCCAAGAGCCCCAGTTACAAGGTCCAGAAACCCTCACCTTGTGGGAACTGAGGACAGTCTTCAGCTCCTCCAGAAGTCCACAGGCCAGCTTAAAGCCCCCAAGAGAGGACAGCAACTTCCGAACGGTCTGCTGAGCCTGCCTGCGCACGTGCCAGGTGCGGCTCAGGAGCACAGCCACCAGCGCCCGGTGGTACTGCCTGCAAGCACAGGGACAGATGGCCCGGGGCAAGCCAGGGGGCAGCGCTTTCCACAGCCAACCCTTCACACACCCCACTTCTCAGGCTCTTGTCATAGTCTGATTTGTTTGGCCCCAGGGACAAGGTAAGCAAGCCTGACGTACTGAACTTTGCTGCCGGTGAGTCTGTGCGAGTGGTCCAGAAAAAGCCTCTCTGTCAAATGCAGCACGGTACACAGGGCTAGGAGGAGGAAGAAACAGTGAAAATGTTTTCTGAAACAAGTACATCTACACACATGCATGCACACATACACACACGCAAATAAACAAATGAAAAATTAACACCGAAATGTAAATGTGATTATGACTGGATGTAAAGTTACAGCTCATTTTTAGTTCTTTCCTTTTTGCTTATTATGGACAAAGGTATTTTGAAATAACAGAAAATATACTTTTTTAGTAACTAAAATTACTGCAAAATTCTACAAGAAAAATAAGAAATAGACTGAGTTCCAAGACTAGAAAGCACAGTGTATACAGAAGACATATTACCACTTGTATAAAAAAGGGAGAAAACTAAAACATGAAGTTACTTGCTTACATACATATCTGATAAAATTGGTTATCTATGGCCAGACATCAAAATGGGCATGCAATTTTCAATGTACACCTTCTTGTACCTTTTATTTTTTAACTATATTGGATGTATTTTCTAAGCAAAAACTGACTAAAAAATTTTTTAGAAACCAGGAAGTGACTAACAGTTGTAGCTCACTAATAGGATGTTGTGATTTGTGAGTCAAAAGATTTTTCAAATCACTAATTAGCAGCAGACTCCTCTAAGACAACCTAGAATTTTACACATACACTTAGAGAGCAACTGTTCCTTTTCTGCCAAGAGAGAAACCAGTAGTTTCTATGTCTCCTGGTGGGAGCGTAGAGCCTGACACACTCCACCAGCACTTCTCAGCTCTTCTTAGCATAAGAAAATCTGACACAGCACCAATTACCCAATCAGCTATAATTACAGCTAACACTGCGAGCGAGCATCAGTGCTGTCTCTACAGTTCTCCAGGGGCCTCCACGCTTCCCCAGGCTGACACTCCCCATGGGAATAAATTCATTCCAATGACAACCAAGCTGTTGGCTAGACTGCTCTGGTCTGGGCTTTTGCAGATCAATTGGCCAAACAGATGGTCAAGGACGGGTCCTTTCTAAAGACCACCCAGGAGATTTGGCTCCAAGTAACTCACCATCTTCTGAGGCCATGAGCAGGAATTTCTCAGAAGTGAAAATCTGCTTCTTCTCATCCACAACCAGCTGCCAGAAACTGTTTAGTTTGGCCTCTGCAAGAAACCAAAAGTCACCACAACTCAGAATGCCATGGCTCCCCAGGGCTAGGCAGCTCTATTCTGAAGCTGCTGTAGGGCCGGGAATGTAGCTCAGCAGCACAAGTGCCTTCCTGAAGCTGCTGCAGTGGGCTTTGTGAAGGACCCTGACAGGGTTACGTCAGTCCTAGGGTCATTGCCCTTCTGTCTGAAGAACTAATCTGTATCACTTCTTGTATGAAAATTTCTAGTGGTTCCCTGCGGCCCACAGGAAGCAAGCCCCTTCTCTGGGATTCCCACCTACCCAGGCACCAAGCTAGAGCATTTGAGGTGCCTTCACTGTAGCTTGCACTGCCCTTCCCTGGCTGGGGCTACAGACTCACACATGGGCCTTCTCTCATGAAAGTGAGAGCCTTCTGGGCACTCAGGGCTCCCATTTAAACATCTCCTCCTGCATGAAGCCTTTCCCAACACCCACCCCCGAACTCAAAGCAATCTTCCCTTCAAAGCTGCTCTAATGTCACATATTCCATTATACCACAGAGGTTATCTCTGCATCTCCTTGCTCCTGCTACAGAGTAATAAGCACCCTGACATTTGATGAAGCAAGCTCATGTTCATCTTTGCATCCCCCCAGGTAGGTCTTGTCATACAAACACGTGAAAAGAGATGAACTCCATCTTTCCTTACAGGAAGTTCAGCTGTGTCTACCTGCGGGAAGTGAAGGGCTGCTATAGTCTGAATGTGAGGTATCCCCATTATGATGTGGATCTAGATTGTCCCCCAAAACTTTCATGTACTCAAAGGTGGAGATGGCTGGATTGTGGAGGTGCTGTATTCACTGGGGAATTCACCCACCAGTCAGTTCAGCTACTGAGTGCTGCTGGGAGGTGGGCGTGTCTGGAAGAGGCAAATGACTAGGGACATGACCTGGAAGGGTGCATCTCCCTTTCCACCTCCTCCTTTCTCTTCCTGCTCCCTGGCCACCACGACATGAGCAGCTTTCTCTGCTGGACCTTTCCCTCATGCTCTTCCTCCCTTTGAACCAGCTGGCTATGGACCAACACTTCTAAAAATCATGAGCTAAAATAAGCCTCATTTAAGTTGTGGATGTTCTGTGTGCCAGAGATGAAGTGACTAAGATATCCCCCAAAGGACCACGTGTTAATGACTTGGTGCCCTTTAAGTGACTGGGGTTAAATATTCCCTCCTTTAAATTGATTTTTGTTATTTGACGTACCAGTGAAACATTAACACAGAAATGAACTAAAGACAACATGGAATACTAGGAAGCCACAGATAAGAATGAGAAGGCACTTGCGATTTAAAATTATTTTTGCAGCCAGGGGTGATGGCGCACACCTGTAATCCCAGCACTCGGGAGGCTGAGGCAGGAGGATCGTTGCAAGTTCGAGACCAGCCTGGGCTATAAAGTGAGCTCAAGGCAAGCCTGAACTGCATAGCGAGACCCAGTCTCAAAAGAACAAAAAAGAAAATAAATAAAATAAAATAATTTTTGCAAGGTATGTTTGGGATGTAATATGGTATACATAGTTTTTCACCCAGCATGTTTCATTACATATAAACTATATCTAGATACAAGACTGGTAATACTGTCCAAAGAAGAGAACTTTCTGCCTGGAAGACAGGGCTAAGGAGAAACTTTTCATGTTATACCCTTTTATATTTTTTTATTTTGTACCAAGAATATATAAGCAATTTAAAAAAACAAACAAAAAAACCCTGATACTAAACCCAGGTCAGTCTAGGTATCATCTACAAGGCTATGTCCCAAAGTGGAATGAAGGACAGTAACAGAGTCCCCTGGCTGCCTTCCCACTGCCCAATGTGACCTTAGGCCCCTCCCTACAGATGACAGGCAGCCCTGTGGCTGACAAGCTGATCCTAAACATAAGGCACTCCTCCCAAGGACTCTGAGAGATGCCCTTGTCAGCAACCACCCTGAACATCTCTGGAACCTTACCAGCCTGTGAGTCAGCTACTGAAAGCTTCGAGAGCAGCAAGGCTGCAGCAACCCCTTCCGTGACGGCGGGAACCTGAGTGCTCTGGGAGCCTGCCTTCTCCACTGTCTGGATGAGCAAGGGCAGTAAGTCCAGGGCCTGCAGTAGCATGTCACCTGTGGAGAGAGACAAGTACCTTACAGGACAACCTGGTCTTCAGGGGTGACAAGATTACTTGAGAAAGGAGTACTCACCCAGGTATAAACTGGCTGACTAAAATCCTTTACTCAATTTGTCAAATATCTCAAAGAATTAGAGTTAGAATCTGGAGCTTAAATCAAACTACAGCCATAAAAATGCAGGTAAAAGAGCCCTTATTAATCCAATAGTCCAACAATTCATCTAATGGATAAGGAGGGTTGGGGATATAGCTCAGTGGCACAACACCTGCCTTGCAAGCACAAGGTCCTGAGTTCGAGTCCTGCTACCAAAAAAAGGAAAAAAGATTTGTGAACATCTAATGGATAAGGAATAGTGCGTTTCACAGGAGGTAAGACTATCTTGGCTCGTGATTTCAGAGGTTTCAGCCACGGTCACTTGGCTCTGTTATTTCCGGCCTGTGGTGCAGCAGAGTCGTGTGGTAGAGAGGGTGTGGCAGCCGGAATGCAGAGGGAGAGAACACCAGCGAGTTGATGCAGAGCCAGCACCAACGTTAAGCCTATCAACTCCTACGTAGTGCTCTTCTATATCAGACAACCTGTGGACTCAAACTCTAAAACTAAACCTATAAATCAAACCCACTTCTTTAAAAAAAGAAGAAATCAGTTAAAATTACAGCTAAACACGTTTTTATAACTTTTTTTTTTGTTTTTCTCCAGTACCGGGAACCGAACTCACAACCTTGCGCTTGCCAGGCAGGCGCTTTTGCCGCTGAGCTAAATCCCCAGCCCCGTTTTTATAACTATTAACTGGATATACCAGAACATTTCACAATGAAACCACTACTTCAGAAAATGAAATGGATTCAAATCCAAGGAATGTTTCACACTGGATAACCTTGACAGTCAACTTGATTGCATTGGGAAACACCTAGGAAATTAGTAAAGCACAGTCTGACTGTGCCTATGTTTCCAAAGATGATTGGCACATGGTACAGCAAACTGTTGGAGGAAGATCTGCCCCGAATGTGGGTGACACCTGAGGGGAAAAAGTGGGGCGCCTAGGTGGGAAAAAAGAAAGGAGGAAGCCTGATAGCCCAGGCTCGCTGGTGTTCTCTCACTCTGCATTCCGGCTGCCACGCCCTCTACCACACGACTCTGCCGCACCACAGGCCGGAAACAACACAGCCAAGTGACTGTGGACTGAAACCTCCTTGAAGCTGGCTTTTTTGTTTGTTTGTTTGTTTGTCTGTAGTGCTGGGGGTGATCTCGAGGCCTAACACATATTAGGCAAGTGCTCTACCACTGACCTGCATCCTGGCCCTATGTTTACTTTTAAAGCCTGCAGCCAAACTAACACAAGCTGAAGAGACCAGGTCAAACGTTTGTGTCACCTACCATTCAATCTAAAATCGAGCCTAATCAACACAGCTAAAATGAAAACTGATATGGGAATACAGACTCTGCTTTAAAATCACAGATATGAGTTCACTACACCCCTAACGTAGTTGACAATGTATTACTTGTACATTTCCACCCAGAGGAATCTATGACTTCAATCTGCATTATCTGTGGCTTTGTATAAACCTCACAAACCACTGCACAGAGGTGATTTATGACTCTGGGTTGGAGGTGTGCTTATTACTCTCAACTCAGTGCAGGAATCTCTTCTAGTGATATTCTTCTTCTCTATTAAGTAATGTAATGTGTGAGTACTGAGTTCATCAGACAAGATTTCATACAGAAGGGTTTCTCCTTTCTAGGAGAGGCTCTGCAGTCTCCTAGATGTTTCTTTTAATATAGTGCTGCATAAATTAAAAAGAAATAAGAGGGGCTGGGGATTTAGCTCAGTAGCACAGCGCCTGCCTGGCAAGCGCAAGGTCGTGAGTTCGAGTCCCGGTACTGGGGGGAAAAAAACCAAACAAACAAATAAAAGAAATAAGATTATTCAGTCTGGGTATGATAGCATATGTTTGTAATCCTAGCACTCAGGTGGCTGAGGCAGGAAGGTCACTGTGCAGTCAAGGGCAGCTTGGGCTACATAGTGAGACCTTATCTCCAAGAAAAAAAAGATCATTTAAAAGAAATGCAAGGCTATCTCAGAGGTACAGGTCAAGATTAGAGACTTATAGCTTGGCAATTAAGCTCCTATCAGACTTAAAGTCTCCTTGGGACAGAGGTGGATGCCTATCCCATGATAGTAGCTCTGTTAGCACTGAAGGGAGGGCAGTGGTCATTTTTAATGTGTCTAGAGTCCAGTTGACATGAGGCTGGAACTTTTAAATTGGTCCTGCCAGAATCGTTTTTTCACGATCTCAGATGTGCAATGACAGGTTGACTGGGGGACCCATAGAGGGAGAAGCAAGTATCAGATGAGAAAAAGGACTCTGATTCTGGGGTTTACAGATGACTAAAAGGCCTAGATGCTCAGGAGGAAGTGATATAAAACAAGCTGAACCAAAAAGGAAAGGCTGGAATGGTAATAACGCCCTGAAGACTTGGTCACCTTTGCAGGGATGGCCTGGACCCTGGCTCAGGGAAGGCATCTTACCTCGGAAGGAGGCCAACATACACTGCAGGTAGGCATGCCTCACTGCAGAGGTGGAGGTTTTAAGGCTGAAGGCTTTCTTGAACCAGTCAGTGAGCTTCTTGGGCACTTCTGCTGTGAAACGGTTACACCAAAGAGCCAGAATCGAGACAGCATGTACCAAGGTGCCTTCATGCACTAGGACAAGAAGAAGTCCAGACAGTGTGACATAACCACATCAAATCACTGCAAACAGCACAAGAAAGCAAGCTGGAGCAGCAGAAGAAGGAAGTAGTGCTATTTCAGGCCATTCCCAGTCCTGCTCACTGAGGGAGGTGTGCTTCAGAAAGGGAAAGGGATTATAGGAGACTCCCACTGTGAAGGACAGGTCTGGAGTGCAGGCTCCCCTTGCCGTATACAATTACCTTCCTGCAGGCTGGGGATTTAGCTCAGTGGCAAAGGGCTGGGGATTTAGCTCAGCGGCAAAAGCGCCTGCCTGGCAAGCGCAAGGTTGTGAGTTCGGTTCCCGGTACCGGAGAAAAACCAAAAAACCAAAAAAACAAACAAACAAAAAAAAGAAATCCTGACATAGTTAAAACTTAAAGCCTAAATTACCTTCCTGCTGGAGGAACGGAATGAAGAGCTCAGCTACGGTCCCATTCAGGACTTGACCAGAAGACCCAGACACCAAGTGATGACTGATGCTCCCAATCCCTGAAAGGCACAATCCCTGCTCAGCTGCACTAAACCATAGCAGGCGAGTCTTCCTGCCACTGCCTCGTCTGCACACCAGACTTCTTCTGGGTTCCCCTATCCATGCTTCTCCCTGGCCATTATGGACCCTCCCTCAATTCTCTCCCCACAGTCTTATCTTTTACAAAAGCCAGACCTCTTGCCAGGCCAGCAGGCAGAAGAGCACGAGGGGGCAGGATGGCATGACCAAGGCTGTGAAAGAGGTCAGCATCTAAAGGACTCACCATATCTGAGTCACATCAAACCTCCCCCGGTATCAACCATGTTTCTAGGACCCAGGGAGGAATCCTGTACCTGAGAGGACACTAATCTTCTGGGCTACAATAGTCAGCTTTCCCTCTGAGCCTGAGAGGAAAGAAGCAAAGGTTAAAGTTTCATCACCCCATTTCCCCAGAGGGTGAACAGTGCATCATGAGGTGACATATGATATACGTAGACTCCAGGTATAGCCTTCCTGGTGTGAAGCTGGGTTTAAAATATTATTTATCAGGCTGGGCATGGAAGTGCACACACACCTGTAATTCCAGCACTTGGGAGACTCCCATAAGTGCCTGAGGTCCTAAGTTTGATTCCCAGTACCCTCACCCCCCCCACACACACACACACCCCCGCGCCAAAAAAAAGGGCTTCCCATGAGTTCAAGACCAGCCTGGGCTACATAGTAAGTTCAAGGACAGTCTGAACTACATAGTGAGATCGTCTCAAAAAACCAAACACACACACACACACACATTTATTAACTTTTTTTTTTGTTTTCTGACTGAAAATGAACTATGATCTCACTCAAAAAATAGAAAAAAATACAAAGATAATAATTTTGTAAATCACCCATGTTCTCAGTACTCAAGGACATTAACAATTTGGAGTATTTCTTTCCTGCCATGCATACGAAAACACACAGATGTAAAAACAAAAATGGTAAGATTACCACCTACACTGCCCTGTGTACTCCCACTCACACCATTCATGCACACTCCAGTGTGGGTGTCCCCCTGCCACACCACCTCACCACGGGCGGACTCACAATCAAGTTTTTGGCTAGACTCAGATCTGGAGCCCAGGGAAATGCTGGGGATGGCACCTCAGCCATCCTCAAAGCCAAGAAAGCTGCTCACCTCCGAGAATAGCAAACAGGTGCCTGGTCAGGGCCTCAGTTGCCGAGGAGTCGCTGCACTGGCGGGCCAGGTTTCGTAGTGCTAGCACGGCTTCATCCATCAGGCGGGGGCTGTTGGACTTTAGCTGATCTGGACACACAGAGCCACTGCTCAGTGGCTGCTGGGAGCTGAGCATCTAGACTTTAGTCTGTCTTTTCCAGGCAACCAGCTCTTCACTCTTGACTATCTGATCTCATACTAAAGGACCTCAAGAAAGAAACTCAGCCCACGTAGGTAAAGTTAAAGCCTTATGTCTAACTTGAACTGTCCCCTACAATTGCAGTAAGAATTCCAACAGGTACCTCCAAAACCCACAGATGTTGAGGGCCTGGAAAGGGGTCAGAATACTCACTAGCCAGGCCTTTCACGATGTCCAGGGCATACTGGCTGAGATCAAGTGTCACCGATGCCAGCAGACTGGAGATGGCTAAGGGGACAGAAAGCACTGTCCATGTCAGTTTCTGGGATCAAGGCGTGTTTTTACCCCCCTCTCCAGCAAATATCGCCAGGCCTGCTGTTTAGCTACATGGAGCATGACTACCCTTCACCTCTGCGGGACTGCAAGAGTGGTCATACCCTTCAACCACATCTCTGCTGGAAAGCAGTACCTACTAGCTCTTTCCCAGTCAGCAAAAAAAAAAACCCATCCCTTGCCAGCATTCCACCAAAACCTCTTACCAAGCAGCAGGGACAGAGACTCAACCCTCACACTCATGGTTTCATGTATCACCTTCACATCAAATCCAAACTGTCTCAAAAAAAGGTTCTTAGTCTGACTATCGCCAGAAGGTTCCTGAACCTCTAACATTATATACACTCTAAATGGACACACTTTGGCATATTCTTCTAACAAGAAAGTCTAGGACTTTATCATATTCTGAAAAGGGTCCCTGAACTCTCTCTCAAGGTCCCAACAAGGTAACAGTGACTTTCTCTCCCCACCCCAAGTGAGTGCCCCCACACACACACGCACACACATGCACACACATTCCCTACTGCAAAGAATCAGGAATAAAGCTAATCAGGCAACTGGTCCCCTCCCCCCATCCTGTCCAACAGGAACGTACTTTCAATAACATTCTCTGGACTCCTCAGTAAGGACTTCTGTATGGTGGGCAGTACCAGATCCTTAAACTCTGAGTGGGACATGTATCGGAGCAGAGGGGCACAGTTATCCTATGAAGAGAAAGGAATCAGGCACCCTCAGGGGAACAGATCAAGAATAAAGGGCAGTGCAGAGTCCCAGAATGTAAAACTAGATTTGGCTCATCCAGGCAGGTAAGGTGCCCACTCACCAACAGGTACTTGGGAGGCTTTACTTTGCTCATCAGGACATTCTTCACGTAGAAATCCAGCAGGGCACTCTAGAGGACAGAGATCTGGCTAAAACCTGACCCTCTGAAGGGCCTGACAGTTGGCCTAAGGGGTACTTCTGCGGGAGAACCTCCAAAAACCATAGATTCATACCTCCAAACCTCAGCGTTAAGCAGAGGTCCCACTCTCATCTCACACCTCTCTCACCCACACCTACTGCTCCAACCCCACTTGCCTCCTCCATGCTCCTTCCCACTGGCTGCCTTCTCTGCCCAAAATGCTCTTCCTCACCTCCTTACCTGCTACCTCCTCCTCACCTGCTGACCCCTCTACACCCTGAAAGTCACCAGGATGTGTTCCCTGACCCGCAGCCTATGTCAGGTTCCCCTATTGCCAAGAATCACAGCTTCCTGCACTTCCCCTTTCTAGCGCTAACTACAGCTATAATTAAGTAGATGATGACCCATCTAAGGTCAGATTCCTTTGCAGATCAGTTCTGCAGGGATCACAGCACCTTTGCTCACTGTACAGTACTAGGCACATGGTAGGTGTTCAATGGGGGTAAATAAATGTCAGCATGAACAAGCAAACTACCATCCTAATAATTATACTAGGATTCACCAGAAGCCAAACTTCAGGAAACCTTTCCAACTCCTTAAAGTTGATTATCATGGTGAAAGGCCAGCGTCTTGTGTGGGAAAACCAACAAATCTGAGATGAGATCAAAAGCTCAGGACATAAGGGCAAAGCAAGATCCCATTCCTTCCCTGCAGCCAGTCTACGACATGGCAAACCAACAGCCACCATGCCTGGTACTTGCCTTGTGCCGATTGACTACGTCTGCCTCCTTGTGGCTTGTGCAGAAGTGCACCAACAACCCTAGCATGCCCGCATAGTTCTGGTTGGGTTCTAGGCTGAGAATGGCTGACAAGTACTGTTCCACCAGCCCGGGGTTCTGAAGAGGAAAGGGGAAGGCAAAAGGATAAAGATGGCAGCGGGGGCACAGGGGGTAAGCACCTCCTGCCCGCTCCTGTCACCTCTTTCCACAGCTTGGTGAGCTTCTTCACAGCACCGTCCACAGCATGTTTGTGGGAGCCGCCCAGCACCTCCAGCAGGAGCAGGCACTGTACTTCAACCTGCCAGGACCAGGAAAGGCTCAGGTCAAAACGTGGTACGGGCGTGAGAGTCTTACAGCACTCAGAGCCTGCCGGAGAACTCTGTCAGGTGCTCCAGATTCTGGCTACATGTCCACTGGGCCTCTTCCACTCAGTCCCAGTCGGATCTTCTTCCTTCCATCACCCCCACCCCCACACTTTGTCCTGTCTTCTAATTACATTGTTCACTCACGCATACATTCGATAAATATATGTTCAGTACTTACGAAGAGTCAGACAATGAAGACACTTAGGGAATAAGACAAACCAATGTACTTTTCTGCACATTATAGTCCAGAAGAAAAAGAAGATACTGAACAAATGAATACACTATTTCGGTAAGATGCCATCCAGGAAAAGAGTAAGTGTCCTGTTCCACATACTTATCTCCCTTAACTTGTTCTTCATTAAGTTCACAAATACAGTACCTCAGTGGGAGGCACTACGCTAAGTACTGTGGACAAAGAAGTAAAGCTTGAAACACTGATTCCTGAGTGCATGGAGCTCACTGTTCCACCTAGAGTGGGACACATAAAGGTGCTCAACTAAACCCCAGAAACTGAGCATGCACAAACACCTAGTCTCTGGTGAGCCACATGATCTGCCACCTAGAGAAAAAGGATATGCTTATAAAGTCAATGCTGAATTCCGCTTGCACACAGACAGAACGTCATACATACAAGTCATCTACTGCAGCCTTGCTTGTAACAATAAAAGATCATAAAAATGTCAATGGCTACCCAGAGATAACTACTTGTATGTACAGTGGTACATTCAAAGGATTAGTAAACAGTTACAAAGAATGAGAAACTCTTTATATGCAACCCTGGAACAAATTCTACAAGTAAAGAAAAAAAAAAAAAAAACAGGACTGGGGATATAGCTCAGAGAGCTTGTTTAGCATGCATTCAATCACAAGCACTGAAAGAAAAAAGTTTACCCAGAGGTGGTGGCACATGCTTATATCCCCGGTGGATTATGAGTTCGAGGTCAGCTTGAACTATACAGTGAGACTCTTTCTCACAAGCCAGTTTCTTAGGTTTGCTGACAGCACATTCAGAACTGTACTGCTGTTCCATCTCCCTGAAATGTTTAACCCTTGACTTGGGCTTCTTTCCTCTTATCTTTCAGGTCTCTGCTCAAAGGTCACCTTCTCAGAACTTTCCTCTCACCGCCCTTTACCACTCTCTCCATCATTCCACCCTGTTTTCTGCACCACTACTTTATGTTCTCATGTTTATGGACTTTTTTATTGTTGGGTTTTTGGCTTTTGGTTGACACAAGGTCTTGCTATATAGTTCAGGCTGGCTTCAAACCCAACGTGATTGTTCTGCCTCAGCCTCCCAAGTGCTAGGATTAGAGGCATGTGCCGTGGACTTGTTTCTTATCTATCTTTTCCACAAGACTGTAAGCTCTATGGGAGCAAGATGCTTCTCGGTCTTGTCCACACATTGGCCCAGCTTCTATAAAAGTGCAGCACATAGCACACGTTCGACACTTAGTTGAGTGGCTGAATGAACCTGTGTGTCTAAATGCATTAGCAACCTGCAAAGGAAAAGCTCAGATTCTAGATATAGAAAAACTAAATAGTCACAAGCTTCTGATGCAGTCTGTCCCACCCAAACCATGCTCCTGGGCTGACGCCTCCTAAGTGCTAGCCCACAGGCAGGCCACGTAGCCTTGGATAACCATCGTCAGGATTCAGCAGAGGGAAGCCCGTGACCTTGCCCTTGATGAACCATATCATGAAAAAGCCTTGTGGTTAACACTCCTGGATCCAAGCAGATCCAGGAGAGTCTCAGCTCAACTGATGACAGCTTTTGCACTACCTGAGAAGTTTCAGTGTTCTGATCTATCATCAATCAATCACTTCTGAAGGCCACTCCATCACTGTCCCTAGAGGTATGATGCCAGGTAAGTTTGCATGGATAAGGCCATCTAACTTTCTAACCAGCTGCCTGCTTCATGCAAAGGTGTTTTGGTTCTCCAACACCACTTGTCCTTCACACCTACCTGCGCAGCATTCTGCAGTTTCTCCAACCATTTCACACCTTGACCAAGCCTGTCTTTAAAACAATACTTTGAGGTGGGTGGGATGGGTGATATTTTTCCCCATTTTGCAGATAAGGACACAAAAGTTAAGTGAGTTGGCCAAATCTCATGGCCAAAAACAAGATCCATACCAAGACCCTCAGACTCCTTTTCACTAAGCCATTCCTCCTGACCTATACTGAACATACCTAGTCACTCAAAAGAAGCTTCTCACTTAGCATATTAGGCTATCTCTGGTTAACAGACACGTAGGAAGGAAATGCAAGAAATGTGCAAGGAGCAGGCACAGAAAGAAAAAAGAGAATTAAGGACCACTGAACAAGGCAAGAATTCCATTGCATTAGCCAGTTAATACTGAAGTCCAAACACAGGAAAGGAATGATTAGACAGAAAAAACAAAATGATTTACATTATTATATTTTCTGGTTTCCTTGCTTTTTGGCTGTCCACTTGTCTGGCCTGTCTTCCACCAATGCCATGAAAGTAGGGTCAATATTTCTCCTGTTCATCACTGTGTTCTCAAAGCCTAGCACTGGGCCTGACACACAGAAGCTCAAAAACATTTCATGAACAGACAAATGTGATTATGTTGCCCTTGTGCCCATCTGTCAAAGTCACATGCCTTAGGACAATTCAAAGGGCCTCCTTGCTGGCACATGGAATAGCACTGGGCATAGAGGCAGGGCTTAAACACTAACTCCATGCAGAAAGCTGACCCTCACTGCTCCAAAGATCCAGAAACCTACCAATTTGTTCCAGATGTCTCCTTGTCGCTTGGCTTTCGAGGGAAAGACAATGCGCACTAGTAGGCAGGTCCAGGTCAGGGCCAGCAAGGCCGCCGAGCCACTGCTCTTACTGAAGAGGGTAGGGAAAGGAGGAGGGGAGATGAATGAGTGGAATGCATCAGCCTCCATCTGGAGGACAAATGTTTACCCCGGAAACCCTGTCTGGTACATAGGACCCTCCATTGATCTAACAGCAGGAACCTGAAACCCACTCAAATCATCTGTGACAACTCAAGAAAAAGAACCCAGGCCTCATTAGCCAAAATCCCATCTCTTGGTACTTACATCTATAAAAACAAAAAGATGGCTTCCCTGCGTTGCTGCCACTAGCCTCCCAGCCCTGCTCCTCAAGAAAATGCTTCTCTCCATGAAAGTAGCCACCCAGGCTCCTCCCCCCATTCAGAGGCAGAGTTTAGGTGCCATTCAGAGTGCAAAGGGCTAAGAGCCAGGTGCACTCACACCTGCTCAGCGGGGCTCTTATGCAGCAGCTTACCTGAGTAGGACTCTACCACCCCCCACACGCCCCCCCTTGGGGGGGGGGACTATGACCTTTACCTCTTACCTGGGAACACCTGCTTTGGAGCCAATGCCTGAAGACTGCAGAGAGTGCAAGAGGTTCTTAGCAGTGGCTTCCGGTTGGGCCTCAGCCAACTGCTGGATGGCTGCCTGCAGGGCCCTGCGTGAGGCTGCATCTCTAGGGGGAGGGATGAGAGGAAAGATAAATGTGGGGACTCAGGCCAGGCAGGGCTTCTTAGACCAAGCGCTGGTGTTTCCTGGGAAAAAGTGACTGATCCCATTGTATTCCAAAAGACCATACATAATGGGACTAGAAAAGAACTAAATAAATCCACCTCATCCCTGAGTCCTAGAAGTAACCAATCTGGGTAAATAAGCCATGAAGAGTGTAAGTAACAACACCTATATGTATAGAACCTTTATAAGGGATTCAAACCAGGCCAAGTGCTTTTATATGCATGACTAATGACAGTACACACACACTGAGCACTCAAGATGGGGCAAGCTCTGTTCCAGCCCTTTACACTTACTAATAAGCACCTATACCCCATTCTGTAGGTGAGGAAATTGAGGCCCACAGAGGTTAAGTAACTTGTCAGGACCCCGAAGGTAGGACACAGACCCAAGCAATCTGGTTCCATTACCCACTACGCTAATATCATATCCCTATACAAAGTGCTCTGGACACCAGGCCTCTGGCTGGGATTCACCTGTATCGATGTAGAGTCAAGCAGAATAATTTGCAGAGCCCTTTCACTGCTCCCTCTGGCAGATCTGAAACCAAAGATCAGAGACTGGTCAATAACAATGGTACAGTAAATATCTGCTTGAGTCAGTCATCCTGCCAAACAGGAACTCCACTACTAGACACTTCAATTCTCCCCATATAGTTAGGATAAAATCTCCAGAAGGAAAAAGCAATGACAGAATAGGACCTTAAGAAAAACTACAGAAAAGCTTCAGGTAGTCATTTGCTAAATAAATGAAACTAAGGCAATACCAGTAGCTTCAAAATGTTTCATGTTCTCTAACGAGTGAAGGTTCAAAAGCACTAGAACTTCTGCTGGGTTTTTTGTTGTTTTTTTTTTTTCTGAGACAGGGTCTCACTATATAATTCAGGCTGGCTTCAAACTCACAGGGATCCTCCTGCCTTAACTTTCTGAGTGCTGGGATTATAGGTGTGCAACACCATGCCCAGCTATTCTACTTCCTGATCTAGGAGTTACATGATATGATGTTTAGTTTGTGATGATTCAGAAGGTGTTTGCTTGTGATTTATGTACCTTTCTTCACAAATATTGTAACAGTCTTAAAAATTAGTACAAAGCCAAGTGCAGTGCCTCACACCTGCCTAGCACTTTTGGAAGCTAACGCAAGAAGATGAAAAGTTCAAGTTCTTTTTATTTTTTTTTTGGTACTGGCAATTGAACTCAGGACTTGCACTTGCCAAGCAGGCACTTATGCCACTGAGCTTTATATCCCCAGCCCTTCAAGTTCTAAGAAAGATAATCTCAAGGCTTTTATAGGAAAATGGACACAACTAGAGACCATACTCATAAGTGAAATAAATCAGACCTGCATGTGTAAACAGCATACTGTCTCACTAGTGTAAGAACCTGAAAGTGAATAAAATCTAGGAGGTACAACAGACATTGTGAAATGAAAGGAAACTGCTCAAAAAGAAAGAACAACTGGGATGAGGGAAAAGAGAAAAGAAAGAAGGGGAAAAATATGTCTACATGTATATACAGGATAGGTAACACAGTTGTACCACTAACTTTTATTGCTCTATTGAAAGAAACAGTTAATGTTTAAGTGTTTGATCAATCTTACATGTCTATATGTGTTTATCTGAGTATCCAATTTATATAATACAACAACCATTGTTAATTTCCTATCACCTTGTCTGAAATTCTGTATTGTTTGTATTGTTTTTGTGTTATTTTCTAAATGTATGTTTGTTTATATGTTTTCATTCTCTTATGCTTAAAATTTTAAAAAAGATTTTTAAAAAATAAAAAGAAAAAAAAGAAAAGTTCAAGTTCTGCCTGGCAACCTAGTAAGACCCTGTCTCAAAATTAAGAATAAAA